AGCCTCCGCAAAAATGGGCTTCATGGCGGGCGAGGGCGCGGCAATGCGGCGGGGGCGGGGAGATGTCATGTGTCGGCGGGAGCTGGCGGGGGGCGCGGATAGATGGCAGGCACTGTACGCGCGTAGATGGCAGGCGCTGCGCGCCGTGAGTGGCGCTCGGTTTAGTGGTTCGGAAATTGTTTTGATAGATTGGAAAGTATGAGTTACTTTTTTGGGAAACTTGCGGTTGTTGAAAGCGGCTCTAGATGATGACGGAGCTGCTCGTGCGGCAGGGGCGCGCGCGTGTGGCGGGGGGAACAGGCATGGGCAGCGTGGGCGCACGGGCAGGGCGCTGGCGCGCGGGGGAGTGGCGCGCGCAGGCGACTGTCAGGCTGGGCGGGAGTAAAGGCGCGCGAACGGGCGGCGTGACGCGCGGCGTGCGTTTTCCCGCGGCGCACGCGTTGGAAGGGCACCGCGGACGCAATGCGCGGGTGTGGAGTACCAAGGGTACAACTTGTACGCGGCGTAACTTACGCGAGGGGGGAAGGTTGTTCGGCGGCGGGCATGCGGCTTGTTGCGGGCCGCCGTGGTATCCGCCTCGGGCGCGGACGCGGGGACGGGGCGGGGAAGGGTGAAAAAGAAAAGATGAGGGGTGGGCGGTGTCAGACTCGGCGCAAGTGAAAGGGAGAGGGAGGGCCCGCGCGGCTCAGCGTGCCGGGGCGCGACGTAACATTAAAGCGGGTTCTCCCTGCCTGGTTGTAAATAAAGTTTTTTATCTAAGACCCCAGCCCCTTTAATGTGAGTCAGCGCATGCAACGGCGCCGTGCTGCGGGGCTGTTGCATGGGGACGGCGCACGCCTTCTGATCGGCACGCGCTTTTTCCCAGTGTCGTTGTGACAGGAAGCGACTGGGCGGTTACAGCTGTCACGGTGGGGCGGCGCCGTTTGATTGCGGCGTCCTGAAGTGATGTCAACATCGTCCTGACAGTCGGCAATTTGTCCGGACGGCTGTAAGTGGCATGCCGCAAGCGGCGACAGACCGATTATACATGTAGCAGGGCACTTGTCCTCCACTGCCCGCACTGCAGTAGACTCTCCGTCCGCGACGGGCGCGGTACAGTACCGGTACCCGAAATAGAAAAGCGCGGATGGGCGGAGGCGAGAGGCGAGACGGGAAAGCTTCCCAAAGCGGCTTCAGTTACGGCCAAGCGGGCCTCGATTCTCGCAGCGGGCTCCGCCTACAATGTACGGCCAGGCGCACCTCGACTCTCGCAGCGGCCTCACTTACAGCAAAGGCACGCCGGAGGCCAATGCGTGCGCGACGCGAGCATTTTGCCGTTTAACGGCGCGCGCCACCAAAACGGGATTCGCGGGACGGCCCAATGGGAGCGCTCCTAAACCCCTTCGCCTGACATTATAGACGCCCCTTGCGCGGCCCAGCGAGCCTTTTACTGACACCCCCGCCGCCTCGCCGTTAGAAGGCGGTGTGCGAAAAAAAAAAGCGGCCGCATTTGTGCCATCTTGACAGAAACTCCCGGTTCTGGCAGTCATGTGTTTTCTACCCCACACCCGCCTGACGGAACACCCCTGGACAAACAGCGTTACGCGCAGGCGCTTTGCCCCAAGCCCGAGCCGCCCATGAAATCCATTTCTTTCACCTTGCCCGCTCTCGCCACACGTCTACTAGTTCACCCACTAGTTAACCGACTCCTTCGCCTCCTCCCTTCCGCCCACCCCGCCTCCTCCTCCTCCTCCCTCCGCCCGCCCACCCTGCTTTCCCCCTCCCTTCCGCCCACCCCGCGTCCTCCCTCCCTCCGCACCCCCCCCGCCTCCCCGGCCCTCCCGCGCCCGCCCCGCCACCATTCCGCGCCGCCGCTACTACCCAGTCTCGCCGCCCAGCTCCGCGCAGTTTCCTCATCTCCCGTTCCTGACACCGCCCGCGATGAAGCCGCCCGCGATGAAGCCCATTCTGCGCAAGGACGACCCGAAGCTGGTGCTGGTCATCGCCGCCGCGCTGTCCATCACCATGGCCGCACTCACCGTGTCCTACATGCAGCCGCCCGTCGTGCCGCGCGAGACCGTGCGCCAGATCATCTACCAGGGCGGTGGCGCCGCCGCCGCCGCCGCCCAGAAGAAGCTCCTCTTCTACAACCGCCCGCCCAAGACGGGCAGCACCACCGTCCGCATCGCCTTCAAGGAGGCCCTGGACAAGCACGGCCTCGTCTCTGCACGCTGCTTCAACATGATCGAGTGGAACGAGATGGCCATCAAGACCATCGTCAACCGCCGCAACGTCGACTTTTACGGCTGCCACACACGCCTACTCACCCGCCGATACAACGACGTCGCCGCCATGCGCAACGGAAACGTCACCTTCATCACCAGCACCAGGGCCCCCAAGAACATCATCCTCTCCGCCTTCCTGCAGCACTACCGCCACGACGACGTCCCGCACATCACAGACCCCGCCAAGATCCAGGAATACGCCGCCAAGTACAAGGAGTACATCGACACCTACCCCGTCGACGCCCTGTACCGCTACCACGGCGCAGACAAACTCCTCCGGGACTGCCCCGTCCGCTGGGAGCACCAGGAGGCCATGCGCTTCATCGCAGAGCGCTACGAGGTCATCGTCGACCTCGACCGCCCGGAGGAGTCCTCCACCATGGTCGAGGCCGTCACTGGCATCCGCCCCGACTTCACTGGCATGTACAACACGAGGACCACCGACACCTCGGGGCCCATGATGGCCGAGCTGCTCAAGCTCGACACCTCGCACAAGACCTGCGGCAACGAGCTCGTCCACTCTACCCTGAAGCAGCAGTTTAATATCATCAAGGACCGCTTGCTGCAGAACAGGTGCTTCAACGAGGATGGCGGCACCTTTGAACTGTGCGAGAAGGCCGTCCTCAAGATGGAGGATATCCGCGAGCGCACTAGGAAGGAGTCTTATGCCGCCATGGAAGTCCTCAAGAGGAAGGCCCCTACCAAGTGATACCTGCATTACTCGCAATAGGAGGGCGGAAGAAAGAAAAAAGAGAAAGTAAAACGGCAGGAGAGGAGCGTCTTTTGACGTGAAAAATCATGAACATATTCAAAAGAGTTGCTTATATGTTCCTTTCAAGTTCGGTGTAGATGTGATGGCGGCCCGATGTTTTCCCAATTCTATTGCATGATTTCTTTTGGTTATACTGTGGATGTCGCAATGTTTTCGTTGCCCCTGCATGTCTGGAAGAGTCGGTCAGGCGTTTGAGCACTGCTCGAAAATAAAGAGTCGTGCTCAACTTTTCTGAAAAAAAGGCTTTGCTTACTTACTGTTGGGTTATCTTCCGTGGATCATGTTGTCTACTACTGTACATAGAGGTCATTAAACAGATGCTGACCCCCGCATTTGGTGGCCTGAATTTCTCCTCCGTTGGAGATTACTTACCCTCAGAATCAGCGGCAGCTCATCATCACCTCGCCCTTCACCACTAACGTTCAAAATTGGACGAGTATCAATTGCATCCATTGCGGAACTTGAAAGAAAGACGCAAATTTTACCCCTATCCGTCACGCTCTGCATTTGTATGCCCCAGTGCTGTAGTAGTCTCGATCTTTGCCTACAATACTGCTGGGAAGTTAAACACGTGTCTGCTTGTGCCGGCTCGAACGCGGGGCGCCAGTTGCTGCGAAGAGAAAGAAGACTTGTCGGCTGTTGACGCATGGGCCCGCACGGGGATTTGCGCATGGGGGACGAAAGGAAAGTGTCAGGGAGACCAAGAAGGGAAAAGGAGCGGGGAGGAGGCGAAGGGAAGGGCCAGTAGCGGGGGGGGGGGGGGGGGGGG